GGAAGGAAGTCCTGATACATCATCAGCGAACCTCAAAAACTTTATGCTATGAAAAAGAAGTTAGTCACAAAAGGCAGCATGTTATACTATCCCATTTATATAAAATGCCCAGAACAGGAAATCAGTAAAAATAGAAATATTAGTGGCTTGCAAACCTGGGGGTTAAGTGAGATGGGAATGTAAATCAACTGCCAGTGGGTATGAGCTTTCTTTTGGTGATGATTAAAATGTCTAAAATCAGGTTGTGGTAATAGTTGCATAATTCTGTGAGAATGCTAAAAAAATGAATGAAGTATGTACTTTAAAGAGGTAAATTGTATTATTGTGAATTGTATCTCAGTAAAAAATAGGTTTGTTTGGTTGTTTGTTTGTTTGTTTTTTTAACATAAGAAGACCCTTTAAGGGATCGCTATCATCAGAGCAGTGATTCCCAGACTTCAATGTAATATCTGAAATATCTGTAAAATTAGTTAAAATATTACTAAGTCTATCCTCAGAGGTACTCATGCCTTAGGTCCAGGGAGAGCCTGAGAACTTCGTTACTTACAGGTTTCTGGTGATACCAATAGGGTGGGGATGCCCTCGCCTGATGGGATCCTGCTGAACCCTCACCTGATGGGATCCTGCTGAACCTCCAGTGTGGCCCTCACCTCCCTTCATAATCTGCCTCTACCAGTCTTTTCAGCCTCTTACTCTAAAGGCTTCATCTCATCTTAACTCTCACTCATATACATCAATTTCTAATTCTCTCACAATCTTTGACCCTATATTAGACATCTGTTTATACATAGCATCTAACCTAGCACATAGAAGTTATTCAATTAATGTTTTTGAAGCAGCCACCCCAGGACTCTATCTCACATAAAGGGACAACTACTGCTTCTTAACATTGGTGCTACTTTTTTGTCCAAGTCCCCTAAGAAAAAGAAATAGAGAAGCCAAGTTATATTAGTGAGCTACAAACATAGTAATTTTAAATATTCCCAAATACAGAAGCCCCAAGTTGCTGAGCATGTATTCTCAGAAAAGAATGCAATTGAATTCTAATTGGAGTTTCCTAGCCTCAGTGTTCCTAGACATCAACTATCTCAAGAGGAAATGCACAATGAGAGTGTGGTATACCCAGAGGAGGAGCAGGAAAGAATAGCAAATAGCTTTACACATCAGCAGAAGGTAGCAGGACCAGTTCTGGGGATGAAAGTGTCTTTATTATCATACTTTCAGATGTGAAGCCTGGTAAAAAAAACAATGTTTAATTTATAACAACACCATCCAATTCTGAGGAAAGAGAAACTTGTTTATCCTGTTACATGTTTAATTATGTCAAAAAGCATGTTCCAAGGTGACACACAGCCAGCTCTTCCCTTAGGCCTGTTACTTCCTGCCAGTAGGTTGGCTGAGGCCAACTACTTGTGTGGACCACCAAACAGCTGATCAAAGCAAACACAATGGACATGAAAAATCAAATAAATACCAATATAATTGTAATAGGGGACCTCAATACCCTACTGTCACAAATGGACAGATTGACTACACAAAAAAATCAGCAAAGAAATATCAAGTTGAACCAAACCTTCAAGCAAATGGACTTAATAGATACCTACAGAGTGTTCTATCCAGCAACAACAGAATACACATTCTTCTCATCAGAACAGGGTCTCCAAAACAGACCACCTACTAGCCAATAAAATATGCTTAAATAAATGCAAAAGAACTGAATTTACCCCATGTATATTATTAGACCATAGTGCACTGATACTAGAAATCAATGGCAAAAAACACCACTGAAACTATGCAAACACATGAAAATTAAATAATACCATCTTGAATAATGGATCACAGATGAAATTAAAGAAGAAACTGGATAGTTTCTATAATCAAATAATGATGCCAGTATGGTATACCAGTACCAATGGGATGCAATGAAAGCAGTTCTAACAAGGACGTTCATAGCAGTGAATTCCCACATCAGAAAGATAGAACAAGCTCAAAAACCTAATAATAAACCTCAAAGTCCTAGAAAAACAAGAACAATCTAAGCCCAAAGCTAATATGAGGAAGGAAATTATAAAGATCATGGAAGAAATTAATGAAATTGAGGCAAAAAAAAAAATACAAGAATCAGTGAGTCAGAGTTGGTTCTTTGAAAGATTAAGCAAAATAGACAAACTCGTAATCCATCATACCAAAACGAAGAATAGACTCAAATCCATGCAATTAGAAATGCTGAAATCACGACAGATTCTGCCAAGATCCAGAAGATTACCAGTAACTACTTTGAGAACCTGTGCTCTAATAAAATGGAAATCTTAGAAGAAATGGATAAATTCCTAGATATATATGAACTACAAAAGCTGAACCAAAATGATATAAAAATCCTAAGTAAGCTAATATTAGTCAATGAAATTAAAGGAGTGAAAAAATACTACCTACTAACCACTTAACAATTTACCCCAAGCCTTACTCAGGCAGCATGTTTGTTTCAATACTGACTAGCACACGCATTACTCAGGCAGGTGACCTTCCAACCGGTCAGTTCTTATACTGAATAAGTTTGATAAAATTGTTATTTTATATTAACTGTTATATTATCTTATAAAAATTAATGAAAAAATATGTAGTTTTTGATCATCCTGTATTTAAATAATTGGACTGATAAGGGGTTGAGAAAAGCTCAGGTCCTGATGGAGTCAGTGTCAAATTCTCTAAGAACTTTAGAGTAGATTTAATGCCACTACTCCTCAAACTTTTTAAAGAGATTGAAAGGTAATCAGGATTCCCAAAGTCATTCTTGGAAACAAGAATTACCCTGATTCAAAAACCAGAAAAGGACTCAATAAAGAAAGAGAAATACAGACCAATCTCTTTAATGAACATAGATGCAAAAATCCTCAATAAGATACTGGCAAACATGGGCCAGGGATTTAACTCAGTGGTTCTGCTGTCTGCCTTGCAAGGGGAAGATTCCAAGTTCAATCCCCAGTAACCCCCCACAGAAAAGATACTGGCAAACAGAATGCCGCAAATCATCAAAAGATCATACACCATGACCAAGTAGGATACATTTCAGAGATGCAAGGATGGTTCAAAATATGCAAATCAATAAATGTAATACACTACACGAACAGAAACAAGGACAAAAATCACATGATCATCTCACTAGACACAGAAAAAGCATTTGACAAAACTCAACATCTATTCATGATAAAAACCCTGAAGAAAATATGAATAGAAGATCTTTACCTCAACCTGATAAAAGCCATCTGTTACAAACCAACAGCCAACAGCACACTGAAAGGAGAGAATCTGAAAGCTTTCCTGCTAAAATCAGGAACAAGACAAGGATATCCTCTATAACCACTCCTGTTCAATACAGTACACAAGGGCCAGGAATTTAGTGCAGTGGTTCCACTGCCTACCTTGCAAGTGCAAGGTCCCAAGTTCAATCCCTGGTACCAAAAAAACCCCCCAAAAATACAGTACACAAAACATTAGCCAGAGCAATTAGGCAAGAGAAATAAATAAAAGGGATATGTATTTGAAAGGAAGAAGTTAAATTATCATTATATGACATGATCCTCTACATAGAACACCCCAAAAACTCCACCAAAAGATTCCTAGAACTAAATATCCAAATTCAGTAGTATAGTAGGATGCAAAATCAATACTAAAAAACAACAGTATTCCTGTACATGAATAATAAATTCAGCAAGAGAGAAATTAGGGACCTAATTTCTTTTACAATAGCAATAAGAAAAATGAGATCTTTAGGAATTAACCTAACAAAGAAAATGAAAGACCTGTACAATGAAAACTATAACACTCTGAAAAAGGAGATTGAAGAGACTATCAGAAAATGGAAAGATATCCCCTGTTCCTGGATAGGCAGAGCCAATATAGTCAAAATAGCCATACTTCCAAAACTGTTTCACATACGTTCCTTGTTTAAAGACCACACTCTATTCCGGCTACTAGATCATTAAATGAATTCAGACCAATGAAATGGTCAAAGGAAACTTCAACTTGATTACTTTGCTTTTATTTGCATAACTCTTACATGTAATACTGTAATGTATAACAGAACATAAAACTACACACTGTAGTTTTAACATTAGGATTTAGCAATCCTGAAATTCATATGGAACCACAAGAGATCTAGAATAGCAAAAGCAATTCTGGGCAACAAAGGCAAGGCAGGGAGCATCACAGTCCTGGACTTCAAGTTATATTACAAGGCTACAATGATTGAAAAAAAAAAAAGTATGGTATTGTAAAAAAAAACCTCATAGATCAATGGAACAGAATGGAAAACAAAAGAACAACTCCAGGCACACTCAGCTATGTTGTCTTTGACAAAGGAGCCAAATCCCTTTGCTGGAGGAATAATAGCCTCTTCAACAAATGGTGCTGGCAAAACTGGCAATCTATATACCTAAGGTTGAATCTAGACCCAAATCTTCCACTACACAATAAACTAAAATCAAAATGGATCAAAAATCTAAACATTAGAATAGAAACATTTAGTCTTCTGGAAGACAAAATAGGCAAAACTCTTGAAGAAATATGTATAGGCATAGACTTTCTGAACAAAACCCCAGTTGCACATGAAATTATACCAAGAATCAACAAATGGGATCACATCAAATTAAAAAGCTTTTGAACAGCCAAGGAAACCAGCAGCAGAGTTAAGAGACAACCTACAGAATGGGAAACTTTTTTGCCAGCTATTCCTCAGACAAAGGACTAATATCTAGAGTATATAAAGAACCAGCTCCAAATTTAAAAACCCAATTAAAAATGGGCATCTGAAACGAATAGACACTTCTTAGATGAAGAAATACAAATGGCCCGGGGCCTCGAGGCCCCCTCCCCGAGGGCTGCCTCGGGATCGCGCTTGCTGGCGCCCGCCCGCCAGACAGGCTTCTCCGAGCGCGCTCTGCCGCCCGACGACGCACGCGCCGAATAGCGCTCCCTGCGTTCCCTGTAGCCCAGCGGGGACCCGCCAAACCGGCGCCCTCAGTTTGCTGCCTGGACGCAATCAGGGCCGCGGAATCTGCAGCCCCGAGCTGCAGCGCCGCGGCGGGAAAAATGAAGAACGAAATTGCTGCTGTTGTCTTCTTTTTCACAAGGCTTGTTCAAAAACATGATAAATTGAAAAAAGAGGCAGTTGAGAGATTTGCTGAGAAATTAACTCAAATACTTCAGGAAAAATACAAGAACCACTGGTATCCAGAAAAACCATCAAAAGGACAGGCCTACAGATGCATTCGTGTCAATTAGTTTCAGAGTTGATCCTGATGTCTTAAAAGCCTGTGAGAATAGCTGCATCTTACACAGTGACCTTGGCCTGACCAAAGAGTTCACTCTCTGGGTGGACCCATGTGAGGTGTGTTGTCCGTATGGAGAGAAAAACAATGCATTCATTGTTGCTAGCTTTCAAAATGAAGATGAGAGCAAAGATGGTATCTCCAAGAAAGTTACCAGAGCCCTTGATAAGGTCACCTCTGATTATCATTCAGGGTCTTCTTCTTCAGATGAAGAAATAAGTAAGGAAGTAGAAATGAAGCCCAGTTCACTGACTGCAACCCCAAACCCTGTGTACCAGATTTCAGAACTGATATTCCCACCTCTTCCAATGTGGCAACCTTTGCCCAGGAAAAAGCCAGGAATGTACCGAGGAAATGGTCATCAGAGTCACTACCCTCCTCCTGTTCCATTTGGTTATCCAAATCAGGGAAGGAAGAATAAACCATATCGCTCAATTCCAGTGACATGGGTACCTCCTCCTGGAATGCATTGTGACCGGAATCACTGGATTAATCCTCACATGTTAGCACCTCACTAGCTCCTTTTGATTCTCTTGATATGCTGTTGAAAAAAAAGGTAGATTATACCTTACGACACATTAAAAGTTCATATTCATAGTAGTGAAGTTAGATGAATCAAACCATTAAACTTATTTTTATAGAGAAGTTATTGAGAATAATCTTTCTTAAAGAAAACATATTGCACTTTAGATATATTGATATAGTTTGAGAAACTTTATTAGTCAAGTGCCTGAGCTTTTAATATTGGACTTGAGCATTTATATATTGTGCATCAACTGTGTTGGATACAAATACACTGTAGGAGTGGATGATCTGTTCCAGCACCTTTAAACATTTACTTTATGGAGAGTATGTAAGTTATTTATAATACAAGAAAATCTATTTTATGTTGTTGTTTGGAAAAGTTGTGTGAGATCATGTAGTTGCAAATAAAAAGTTTGAGGCATGAAAAAAAAAAGAAATACAAATGACCAATAAATATGTGAAAAAAAAATCACTGGACATTCAAGAAATGCAAATTAAAGCAACACTGAGATCCCATCTCATGCCAAAAAGTATGGCTACCATCAAGGAAGAAACCGATAACAAATGCTGGCAAGGCTTTGGGGAGAAAAGAACATTTCTTCATTGCTGGTAGGACAGTAAACTGATACAACCATTATGGAAATCAGTATGGAGATTCCTCAAAAAACTAAAAAGAGAAATTTATTTGACCCAGCTATTCCATTTCGAGGTATCTTCTCAAAAGAGTTAAGGACATCATGCCACAGTGATATCTGCATGTCCATATTCCTAGCAGTGCAATTCATAATGCCTAATCTTGGAAACAGTCTATATGTCCATCAACAGAAGAATAGATAAAGAAAATGTGGCATTTATACACAGTGGAGACTACTTTGCCATAAAGAATAAACTTGAGTTATTTGTAGGAAAATGGATGTACCTTGAGACTATAAAGTGAAGTAACTAAGACACACAAGCTCAAATACTACATGGTTTCTCTTGTATGAAAAAATTCACATACACATACACCCACACCCCCCCAGACACACACACACACACACACACACACACACACACACACACACATATATATGTAAAAGACAGCAGGAAAAAAGAAAGAGAAAAGTATTAAAATTCAGCACAGACAACACATCTAACAATGTACCTTGACTTAGTACAATTGTCCTTACACCTTTTATATGTTCTTCAGTCCATTAGCCTGGTTTTTAATCCATATACATGATAATTAAATTTATACAGTTTTATATGATAATGAATCTGATCTTGGAAAAATAAAAGGGGGTGGAGGGGAAAAAAGAATTGAAATGTGTTTTGTACACGTACCAATTCCCTACAGTGAATGTAATCATTATGTACTGCAGACACGTACTGATAAAAATCTAAATAAATAAATAAAATATTAAAATGGAAGTGTTAGTATATATATGAGAAAATATGGGAAAATTTTAAAATACTATTTAAAATAAGGCAATATATTAATAAATTATGTTGCATTCACTTATTGAACAACTATACAGTTGTTAAAATATAGTAAACTGTGATTTGGAAGACATCCGTGCTATGTTGACTGGAAGAAAAACAACTCAGGAAAGTTATGTATAAGTGATTTTAAAGAATGTTGGGCTATTTGTGTGTGTATATATAGTCTAACATATGGAAGCTGCATACAACACTGTGAACTGAAATGAACATTACAGACTAGAAGTGCAGAAGAAAAGGAGATTTTCACAACTTTCCATGTTATGAGGAATGTGGATATGACAAAGTATGCAAAGTTTTCATAAGTAAATTTTTAAAAAGCTCTTTGAATTTGTTGCAATGTCATTGGAAGGTATGCAATCTAAGAATGTGTTTCCATTCCTAGGAATTTCCAAAGAGCATGGGGGCTCAGGCTCCCTTAAGAATGCTCCAAAATGACTCTTCTGTTGGAAGAGAAGGGGATTAGAAGTGGTTTCCTGGGCCAGAGATTTAGCTCAGTGGTTCTGCTGCCTGCCTCACAAGCGCAAGGTCCAGAGTTCAATCCCCAGTACAAAAAAGTTGTTTTCTATTTGAAAGATAAAGAACATGCCTAAAAATTCCTTTCTCTTTAGCATCACACAAAAAAATTTCCTCATTTCCATTAGTATACAACATACTGTGATATCTCCCACCATTTAAAAAAGAAATCTTACCTAGTCACACATGGCTCTATTACTCTATCTTTATCCTCCTCTTTTCAGAATGTCATCTTTATACTATGTCTTCATTTCTTACCATTCACTGCTTTTTAAAATATCTTATTTTACAGAAATTTCAAACTCAGAAAAAGTACAAAGAAAATACAAATATTTCCCATAGTCCCTTCACCCAGATTCATTAGTTAAGATTTTTCATTCTTTTTTTTCTCTCTGATCCCCATGTGTGTACAGCTCTTGTCAAGGTCATCAGTGACTTTCATGTTGTCAAATCTAATGATCATGTTTCAGTTCTCATCTGATCAGCAGCACCAAAATTAACTGTCCTTAAAACACAGCTTCACTTGGTTTCTGGTCTGCCACATTCTTTTGGTTTCCTTTCCGCTCACTGGCTACTCCATCTCAGTGCCCTTTTCTGGATCTTCCTCATTATAAAAGCCTCCAAACACTAGAGGGTGCTGCACCCAGTCCTAGAATTTCCTCTCTTCTGTATCCACTCACTCTCCACATGTCCTCATCTAGTCTCAAGACTTTAAATACTACCTATATACCTTGAACAAAATTTTATTTCTTGTCCTAACCTCTCCTCTGAACTCTAGATTTCTATCCTTAGATGCCTACTTAATAGCTCCATTGGAAGGTTTAGCTTTACAGGCCCAATTTAAAAGTTTGATTTCTTCTTTATCTACCCACTTCTTATAATGTCTCTTACTTCAGAAAATTGCAACTCCATCCTTCCAGTCATTCAGGTAAAAAATCTTAGTCTTTCTTTGAATACTTTATTTATACTATACCCCATAATCAATCTAAAATCAAACCACTCCCTACTACTCCCACTATTACCATCCTTGGCTAAACCACCACCATCTTTCACTTGTTTTTTTACAATTTCTTCCTATCTCACCTCTTTTTCTTCTACAGACTAGTTATCATCTGCTTCCAGAACTACTCTTTTAAGACATGATTTGTATTGGGTCTCTTTTCCATGTGAAATTCTTCAAGTGCTTTTCATATCACCCACAGCTCTCTACCTCCCAGTCAAGATGTCATTAATGTTTCTCAAATATGCTGGAAATGATTCTTGCTCCAAATTCATAAGAACCCCTCAAGTTTTTCCTACCTGCTGCCTGAGCTTAACTCACTTTTAAACATGCAGACTGAATATCAAAGAGCAAGTATGCAAGATGAAGGGCAAAAACATTGCTAATATTGGAGGCTTTTTTTCCAAAATAGGCAAAAAACAGTCAATAAGAAACTTTTCCAGTGAGTAAGGTGTTGCTCTGAGTCTTTTGTCACTTTAAAAATCTACCATCAGCTACATACTCCAGGAAACTAGTTTGCACAGTGGCTGACATTAGGATCAGTTCCAATTCATTATCTCATCAGCAAAGAACCACAGTTAAACTTTAGGACATTTTGCTTCCTCTTTGCAAGGTTGGTTATAATTCCATCACCATAAGCATTGAGAAATGGTAATGAACACATGTATTCTATGATTCAGAAGGAATAGCTTAATTTTAGTGTGTGGTATTTGAACCCAGTCTTACAAGTTTCTGGTCCCATCTTACACAACAGTCTTTATTATTAAACACAAACCATTACTAAATTAGTATATGAGAGAATGCATTTTAACAGACTTTTCAGATTTGTAGAAAACTGCTTTGGAAAAAGGAGGCTTCCCAGTTGACATACTACAGTTCCCAGGGCAGAGTAGGAGCTTTCCAGGCCAACCTAACAACACTCCCAGCACATAAGAGGCTTCGGGGTCATTGTGCTACAGCTCCCAACGCAGAGGAAGAGGCTCCCAGTTCAACGTGCCACAGCTCCCAGAACAGAGGAGGAGGCTTCCAGGCCAACCTAGCACCACTCCCAGCAAAGAGGAGGCAAACCACGTGAGCACCAGCAGCATCATACGCCCCCACCCTCCCACTCTGTCAAAATGAGAAGACATGCAAACAAGCCTCAGAAACAGACTTCCAGATCACCTACAGCAACCCCAAAGGGAAATGAGATGAAACACTCTGAGAGATACTCAACCACCTGGACTCCCTGAACTAGCAACAAAAGAGATGTGGAAAAAATGAAATCAGAAATAATTTCTCAGATAACAGCAGAGATTGTGTCCATAGTGCAAGATATGATTGATAAATCTAGAGCAGACACAGATAAAAAGAAAAAATAGAGGAATTGAGAAACATGATGGAATGCCAACATAGGAAACAAATGGAATCCATAAAATCAATGCAAATAGATTTCCAGATTAAAAACTCCATTGAAAGTCTATGCAGTAGAATAAGCCAATGTGAGGACAGAATTTCAGATATAGAAGATAAGATTGCAATTAGTGACCAGGAAAAGAAAAATTGCTTTAAAATTGTAAGG